GCAGATGCAGGCTAGGGCCTGGGATGGGAAGAGCAAGTTTTATGTTTGTTGTGTTAGAAGTACTGAAAAGGATTCTGCAAATAATATGAGACTTGATCCCTGGTGACATCCTGAATTTCTTGCTTTTCTAATCAGATTTTTTTAATTGTCTTTTTTTCCCCATCGAGCAGTTGATGATCAGGAGAATGAAGGTTACCAAGAGCCAACTGTGGTGCCAGAAGTAATCAAGATTGAAATAAAAGAAGAGACATCTACTGATAAGTTTGGAAGAGGCCAATGCTACAACTGGAGAGAAATCTCCACTCTTGAATGCATGGAAAGTGATTATCTCCTGACTCAAAATGTTCGTAAGGAAAATGGGATGGGAAACTATCAAGGAAGTGGGGAAACATTCCAAGCAAAACCCAATTCCCATAATTACCACCTCAGCAGTAACAGTGACATTATTCCTCATAAAATGATCCACACAGAAAAGAAACCTTATAAACATGTGGACTCTGGAAACAGCTTTAGATGTACTGGTAATCTTAAATACGATAAGAAGATCCATTCAGGGAAAAAGCCTTATAAATGTGCAGCCTGTGGAAAAGGATTCGGTTCAAATAGTTCCCTTACTTATCATGAAAGGATCCATAGGGGAGAAAAACCCTACCAATGCCTAGAGTGTGGGAAGAGCTTCATACAGAGCAGTGACCTTACTTCTCATAAAAGGATCCATACAGGGGAAAAACCATATAAGTGCATGGACTGTGGAAAAAGCTTCAGTTCGAATAGTTCTGTTAATTATCATAAAAGGATCCATACGGGAGAAAGACCCTATGAATGCATCGAGTGTGGGAAGAGCTTTAGCAAGAGCAGTGTTCTTACTTCCCACAAAAGGATCCATTCTGGGGAAAAACCTTATAAATGTGTGGACTGTGGAAAAACTTTTCATGGCCGTGGCCACCTGATGTCTCATAGGAGGATTCACACAGGAGAGAAACCCTATCAATGTCTGGAGTGTGGAAAGAGCTTCAGCCATAATTGTTCCCTGACCTCCCATAAAAGAGTCCACACAGGAGAGAAACCGTATAAATGTGTGGACTGTGGAAAGAGCTTCAGTCGAAGCAGTTCCCTTACTTGCCACAGAAGGATCCACTCAGGATTCAAACCTTATATATGCAATCAATGTGGGAAGAGCTTTAGTACAAGCAGCTCTCTTACTTACCACATTAGTATCCACACAGGGAAGAAACTATATCAGTGCATGGAGTGTGGGAAGAGCTTTAGGTTGAAAAGTCACCTAAATTCCCATCAAAAGATCCACACAGGGTTGAAACCTTATAAATGTATGGAATGTGGAAAGAGTTTTTCTGAAAACAGAACTCTTATTTCTCATGAAAGAATCCACACAGGGGAGAAAAAATATGAATGCATGTTGTGTGGAAAGAATTTCATGTGGAGCAATCAACTTACTTCCCATAAAAGGACCCATGTGGAGGAGATGCCTTTAGGGACTGAAATATCCTTAATTCATGTAAGCGGATCCACTATGATATGAAACCTTATAAAAGCATGGAATGCAGACACAACTTTAGTCAAGAATTGCAAACTGATTCATGTTAAAACACTTGACATGCAGGACTATATATCTATAGGACTAACTTTCCCTGAGGATATCTGTCTGACATTGTAAATTACTCAGAGGGTGCTCTAAAGAGTGGTATGTAAGTCTTAAGTGCTAATGCCATTTGCCTGTTCCACTGGAGCAATAGAGTTGTCCTTTCTCTTAAATATTGCCATCTCATGGGTCCTCAGTAGTTGCAGTGTCTGCCTATGGAACACGCTTTCCAAGATCTGATAGCCTCTGCCCCTTTTATCCTTCCAGGAGCCCTTAAAATGGGCACATTAGAGAAATGAGGCCGAGGCACCTTTTTGGTTTTTTTTTTTGCTGTTTGCTTTTATATTATTTTATTGACTGTAAGCCACTCAGTTTAAGATTGGCAGCTCTATGAATGTTAAAATTTTAAGTAAGTACGTAACAAGTAACCCTTGCTTTCTGACAACAATAGGGATTGGCAACTCCATTATTAAGCCATGCAGTCATAAATTGAAACATCGTATGACTGTGCTGGTCTTACATCAGTTGGGCAGTTCCACTTGTAACTGTTAATCCAATCCTCCATGGTCATAAAGGACAATGTGAATCGATTGCAACATGTGACTTCTTGTGGCTTCCACATTGACTTAATACTTATGAGAAGCTGGCTAATTTAATTTTTGATTGTGTGCCCTGAAATCAGGGTCAGCTCTTGTGACTATAGAGACTTACTACAATTGGATTGGAACTTTCCCTGCAAAGCAATTGGCCACTAAGCGAGTAACAGACATGACTTCCTATGGGGTGTCTTGAACCAATTAAAACTGCTGGTATAATCTGAGATTTGTGAGGTTTATAAGTTTGGCGTGAGGGCCCACCAGATTCCTTGGTTTGTTTCTCTAGTCCCTAGTGTGATTTTTTTTTTACCTGTTACAGAAATAAAAGTTTTAAATATATTACCTTCCACCTCTGTGTGATTATTGGCTACTCACACCAGACAAAACAAACCTCTCACCTTGGGGCTGAATCAACGCCTCCACCCTGCAGCTCATCCACCTTTCACAGAGCCCAATTCTCCTTTTATGGCCCTTTCTTCCACCCTTCGCCTGGAGGGAGCTGAGAAAATTCAGCTTTGTGGAGGCTGGGTTAGGAGACCACCAGGAGATCCTATGTCCCCAAGGGGAAGCTGCCAAAGGCTTTCCAAGGTCTGAGGGGAAACAAAAGGCCCCAGAGATCCCCTTGACGGGACCAAGGAGATCACCAAGCCCAGGGCCCATCAGGGCAGTGTTGCTTCTCCTCAGGTGGAGTTTTTGTGTGTGTGTGTGTGTGAGAGAGAGAGAGACAGTTAGTTTAGTGTATGTTTGTATATGACTTTCCTCAGAGCGAGGAGGAAAATTCGTACCCAGCAGAGAAGCGGCTGAGGCGATTCCGAGATTCCCGTTTCCCGCTCAAATCTGACAGGCGCCTCTCGCCTGCCATTGGCTCGCCAAGCTCATGTGACCCGGCGGGCTCCCGCTCCCCCTCTTGTCATTCATGCTCCACCCCAGCACAACATCTGCAGCCTATTAGCTACCGAGGCCAAGATGGGGAGGAACAGCCTCGCTCATTGGGAAGGGCTCTACTGAGCATGCGCGCCACTCAGATAGGCACGAAATAGCTGAGTGTGCAGTTCAGGGTTGCCATCTGGCCGTTTTTCCGGCCAAATTCGAGAAATCTGGCTGTATAGAAATCTGGCCGTGAAAAAAAATCATGTCTCTGGCCAAATATATTTGGCCGGAAATTTGGCCGTATGAAAGTTGCTTGGCCGTGAAATTGAAATTTTGGCCGAATACCGGTTTTCAATACAATATATTCGCATGAAAATGACTGTCAGATCGTCTGAAAACCTCTGAAAAACGACGCGATACACAAGCTGAAGCCTTCTGACTGAACAGCGCTGTGTAATATAAGCAGATGTTAACCCGGATGTAAACATCTCAGTATTGGATTGTTTTCTCGCCAGTCGGCGCACGGCGTCATGGAAAATCCCGGATGTGCGACCGAGAGAATACGCCTGTGGTACATATAAGCTAGCTAAACGCATTTTGCGTGTACTCTGCATGCATGGTAAGGCAGCTATGTGTAATGTGTATGTGTATACTTGACAGACTTGATCTTATAGTTTGTTTTTTTACCTTTTTCTTTCTTCACATTACTACATTAGAAGTACTCTTTGTTTTCATGTAATTATTGGGATAATTCCTCTCTTTTTGAAAAGATGGTTATTGAGCATTCAGTTTTCATAAGGATTCATATATATAAAATTGCTATTTTTGTGTCATTTTATTTATTTAGTGATTATATTTTTTCAATCGGGGGGGGGAAATCCCCCTAAAAACCCTCATGCCCTAGCTCCCCCCTCCTCAGGATCGCTGCATTTGGCCCTGAGCTTTCCAAACGGTAGAGCGGTTATTTGAAGTGAGCTGCCTAGCCTGGATGCAAGTAAAGAAACGCAGAAATTCCCATGATGTCATGTCACGTTGTCGAATAAAGACTATTTTTTATGATTTGATTATTTAAAAACAGTTAAAAAAACAAAAAACAATATATCCTCATGTTATATTGCATAAAAAAATGTGGCCGGAAAATTTGGCCGTGAGAGAAAATAATTTGGCCAAATTTTGACTTGCGTTTGGCCACAGAGCCAAGCTGCGATCTGGCAACCCTGGTGCAGTTATCCTGCGGGAGCGCTTCCGACTTGCTGCTGATGGAAGGGTGGAAGCGCCGAGTTGGAGCCTTCCTCCCACAGCCTTGAACCGGCACCTGCCTTTCACCCTTTTTTCTCGGAAGCAAAATCAGCGTCTCCTTGTCCCTCTGTAACTCATGGTTTCCTTCTGCCCTTGGTTTTAAAAGAAGCCACTCCTTGATCTCTGGGTGACTGAGTGGTACTCGTTAAAATACACGTACAACTAAGGGCCAAATGTATACTTGCAGCACTTTTGGGTTTTCTTCTTTTATCCTTTATTGCTCTAGAGCAAATAAAAGCCGTAGGGGTTGACTCCAAAAAAGAGCAACGGAGATGAAGCTCCTATGGAACCAAAGCTGGGTGAAAGGATGGAGAAACGTCGGGGGATCCAAAGCAGGGGAGATTGGCGCTTTCTTGGATCAGATCACCTCTCAGGAATGGCGGGAAAGGAAATCCCAGAATGGCTGGTTAGTATATGCAGAGAACCAGGATCTGGTGGTCTCCAGGCTTGGCTAAGTGCTTCAACCCAACTGGTGGCAGGACACAGAAGTCTCACCGTGGGGAGATGGAACATTGAAACAATGGAGGGGGTGTATCTTCAGAAGGGGGAAGAGTACAGTTAGTCCTCGACTTATAACAGATTAGTGACCGTTCAAAGTTACGGCACCGAAAAACGTGGCTTGAAGGCCGGCCCAACATGGGGGGAGTAACGCATGCATGCATGCACACCTCCATTTGTGTGCGTGCACACCCTGTACTTGTGTGAATAGAGCTTAGCGTGCAAGCGCCCTCCACTCGCGCGAGTAGAGGTTCATGCGCCAGCCCAAACACTTCTCCACTTTTGCCCACAATGTTCCGTTCATGAGTCTAGGGCCGCCCACGCCTGTCGCTCATACAAATGGAGCTGTACCCACATGCGTGCGCCTGCTACTAACATACCACTCCACACTGGGCCAAGCTGGAAAGGTTGGGTACCGCTGAATTAGAGGTTCTAGGAGGAATACGGTCTGTACCCCAGTCAGGCAAAGGGGTTCCTTTCACAGATGCACATGTTTTGTCCCTCCTTGTCTGAAGTCAGGGAAACTTTGCCTTCACGTCTGGAAGATTCGCCATGTCTTTCTCATGTGGCTGAGCTCACTTATCCAAGCACCTCAGCTGCGTCCGCCTTTGGATGACTTCCTCTCACTGGGCATCTTCCTCTGGGAATTCTGGGTCCCCCAAGCCCCAGTGAAAGAGAGGAGACGCATAAAAGGTCCAACAGAATTTTATTTGAAGGGATCCAAAAAGGCCCAAATGGCAGGCCTGGGGGCTGGCTGGCCCACTCCTCCCTCTGCACTGCCCCTTCAAGTTTTGACGGACACCTTGCCCTGGGTCCGCTGGAACTCCTGCTGCAGCCGGCCCAGGGCATCCCGATGCTGCTCCGACTTCCGCTCATAGTCCTGAATCTGAGCCTCGTAGCGTTTGCTGGGGAGAGAGGATCAAACCGGTGAGCAGCTGAGCACAGGGAGAAGCCCCAGAAGAGCTGTGGGGACTCCCAAGATAGACTGCCTCAGGAGCTGGAGGCCTCACCCAGGAACCCCCGGTCTACTCACATCTCCCCTGTGATGTACTCCAGCCTCTTTCCCACGGTTGCTTTGGCTTCCTCCGTGTCCTGCTTCACCAGCACCGGCCCAATGAGCTTGTAGACAGAGTTAGAGGGGTCCAGCAGGTCCAATTCCTAGAGGGGAGGGGAGGAGGAGGGCTGTTGCTGAAAGGAAGCCCAGGGAAGGCGGGGGGGGGGGGGGGGGGGGGAACCAGGCCTGACCTCACCTCCTTCACCACATGGTTCTCCGT